TGAAGAAGAGGATCGATGCGAATCTTTTTGTATCGCGTTTCCAGAAACGTTCAATCTCAATGTCAAATGTGAGGAGATAGTCGTATATCAGTATCACTGAGAGGACTATGGTTAAGGAGGAGGAACTAACGAAAGGGATAAAAAAGATACGCACCGAATTCTATGAGCTCTACGTAGTGATCCCAGTTCCTACAGCACAAATGAGTTATTCGAGGTATCGCAAAACAGATATCGACCACCCGTACACTTGGATTTGAATATTTGCAGCGCCCAAGTCAGACATGAACGCAGGCACGAAAGAAGAGCAAGGTGAAGATGTGCTCTGGTAATGAAGCCAGATACTTATCCTAAATCCATGGGACTTATTTTAGCTTCTGGTTCATATAACTCAGTTCCCGTCCAACCCGAAAACAGCATTTCGATTCATTATCGAGACCGGAACAGCGACCTATGAATATGGCATGTATCAAATAATACTGCCATACCAGTATCAGAGCGCTCAACAAAGAAACCGACTTAGCGTCGGATGATTGATGATGCACGCTATGCAATGTAACCTAGTGCATCATCACATGTCTGTCCACCCGCCGTCTACATACAAACGCGTGCTTTAAGTCTTCTCATTTACTAAAGATCGTTCGTCCTATGGCCATTATTGAGGATCGCGGCTGTAACGGAGTATAGCTGTTTAGTAGGCAAAAGGCAAAATGCAATGAGGACCTGGCCAACCCGTCCTAAGACTACAAGACGGGAAGGGCTTGACTCCCATCCCAGTATATTTGTTCCCGTCATTAGTCCCAAAGGGTTATTACCCAAGAGTCTTCGTTGAAACCATGAGATATGATTGTGATAGAGCGCAAGGTAACTCACCTATATCTTGGATTGAACTCTGTCGTTCTCCCAGCTCATCTAGGACCAGGAGCGTCAAGTTAGGGTACCGACGTTTCTGAAAATTCGCCGTGCGAGTCAAGGAGAGCGAAGGATCGAGTCACAGTGAAAATGCACAACTTCTAAGCGCCTTAGGGTAACGGTTGTCAGCGCTTAACCCGAATCGGTTCTTCGATCTACACTACCAAGGGGTAGCTCCGCTCAATGATGGAAACCAGGTTCATAAATTGTTTTACAGCACTCTGCAACTACGTATCTATTCAAATACAACTGTCGTTTATGCCTGGTTGCTACCCTATCGATTAAAGACGAGTCATTTTTGATTGAAATTTCATTAACTAAGTTTTCTTTTCGACGATTACTAGTCCTGCGAGGCTTCACCACTTGGATATTGATATTGCCGCGTCTTGCACCTCGCTCGCAGCTCTATAGACTAGTATACCATGCCTCACAAGCGCCATGACTCTGGGCACATTTCTGAAGCCTACCAGATGCACTTCGTTGATCTCCCCCCTGAGGCACACTCTAGTACGTGCATGCATTTCTTTTTGAGGCAACTATTTCTGCTCACCCTATATCTTTCAGGCACTTCGACCTTCGAACTGAAGCATACTAAACATTCGACGGGCACAATCGCATTGAACTTCCCTATGCCTCGTGTGTTTTATATTATGAAGCCTTACGCTTATCATAACGTCCTATAGCTTCTTCGCAGCTTTCATTATCATTAGATCCATTATACCCTCATCTACACGCTTACTCTGATCACATTCCACAACATCCTTATCACTCGAGCACTAGCTCGGCCAGCGCATCCTTCGCGACGCTTCCTCGTCGTAATGAGTTCCCCGACGTCAGTAATCTCAATCGGCTTTATCGCGAGCCATCTCCACAGCAGTGGATCCATAGTGCTAAGGCGGGTCATAATCTCGAGCTTCCTATACCGAGAGCGACACACATCGACACCCAACCTAGGACTCAGCGTGTAATGAGTGGATATATTGATCCTCTGAGCGAAACTTCCGGTGTGTATCGCAATGTGGATCATGAATGTCAATGTACTACCAATGGGTGAGTACTCTTGTCGTCGCATCTATGCAATCAATTTCTCATGGTGTATATATATACTCTTGACTATCGAATGTACCACAAACATAGCTTCCAGCAATGCTGCGGCCAATTGTGTTTACGGTGGATTTTTTGTTTGTGACTCTGTTTGATACCAACTCAACAATTGCTATACCCTTGTATACCCTTGTCTCTAATAAATGGTTCGTGTAACTGTGTAAACCATGTAGCTCCTAGGTCGAATGAAAATGAAATCCGTAAATGCACACGTTGTCTCTGACCCGGGCATGCTATGGTCAGCTTTGACTGGTACTCACATTAAAACTCAGAACCCTCGACTGTGCTAGATATCGTTACCTCAGTGACAAAGAAGCCACTGAGTTCGACGAAATACAGAGCCGCCCGGTCGCTCCGGTTTGGGCGACCTACCAATGCCTATGATGAAATCCAAGCGTTCACCCAGTACAGCCGAGCAAAGTGGCTAACGAGACTGAATAGTACCGCTGGATGACTAGCTCCACTAATCGATCCCTCTCGTGCTTTCCTTTGAGAAATTTGTACCCTTGACGTCGCAAGCATTCATTTCGCTCAATCGCAAAGTAGCCCATGAGATAATTGAAGCGGAACCTATTAAGGCAGCGTTAGGTAGTAAATGGAATCTTGAAAGAGATTAAATCAATAAGAGATTAGATCAATTGGTTTATCGATTGCTTTGATCACCTAGCTGATGACTCCATAGTATTAGTTCGAAAAACACCTTCTCAGTTTAGATCCTTTGCTCGACCTTAGACTGTATACACGTTGTTCGTGCAAGGCAGTTACATATCTGGGGAGGTAAAAAAAGTGAGCTTCATGGAGCCTGATAGTAGCTTTCTTGACGTTTACTGGTGGTATTTGCTTCGGTAGTGCAATGATCTACGAAATTAATACAAGATCACGATAGTTCACACTATCGCGGAATGATGATAAGGTGGTATTACTCATAATTAAAGTAACTGTAAGCTTTAGCTTAAAGCGCTGAGGAAGAATGATGTCTTACGAACAGGGAAATCGAACGAACAGCGTTGTACAGATAACAAAGTGGGTCATCCACAATATTCCATGCTTTGTGAATTGCCATTGTATCTCCGAGTATGATAATGAAGATAAAAGACAAAAGACAAAAGGCTGTCAAGCATTCGTTCATTCGAGAAGTTTGAATTCAAGGACCCACAACTGTAACGACGCAGCATGAACGAACAATTACCTGCTTAAGGAACAAGGGGCATCCCCGCGTTCGGCGAAAAAAAAGTAAACTGACAAGGTGGGCAGAGCTAGGGGGATCCATCGTAGCCCTAAAAATTGCCCCGAGCCGAGAAGCCGCCGCGGGATTTCAGGCATACACGTGCTACGAACACGGCGGAAGCATATTTACATATTTTTTCAGTCTCCTTCATGCCACCATTTGGGAAGGCTTCAACAGTTCTCTAGTTTCCTTTTAAGCATTGTTTATTGTTTTATTCCTACAAAACTCTCCTCTGCGCCACATCAACCTTCAACTTTCTCCTTCTCAACCACGATGACCGAATACGACTATTCCCCAGAAGCAATGGACAGATATCAAGCGAAACTGCGTAGCATTGGCAGATGGGTACACGACACAGAGAGATATGAACCCACGAACCCTTTTGCTCTTTCTCCTGCTCCTCGCGTTGCCAAACTGTCAGACTCGGACGCATCTTTCTCTAGACATAGGCCTCACAGGTCTTACACGGCTCCTCCTAAAGGTTCCTCGAGCTCTACTGCTCATAATTCATCATCGTCTCAGGGTCAATACCTGCAACAGGCGACACAAATATATGCCCAGCCTCAGCAATATGCCAATTATCCTCAACCGGCGTATCCTTATCCAATCCCTCCTCCGATACCCGCTAGACAGTATGGACCTCCACAGCGGTCTCATACTTATGCTATACCCCCACCTCCTCCACCTCCACCTCCACCTCGTCCTTTGCAGCCTCCGAAACGCTCTCATACAATCGGTGGATATGGATCTTCGCCTCAAATGGTTTACGATCCGCGAGTGGGAGCCTCTCGTGCCATCGTGAGTTGAATATCTCCGTTCATTTGCCAGCTTAGCTAATAACCTATACCTCTTCAGTTTCCTATGCATGGAGGTCAGCCACAAACGCCTTCAAAAAGCTGGTTCGGTAAACTCTTGAACAGTTTTCGTAGTTCGAGTCCTTCGCCTTCTCAGAGTCCCATTAGTCCTACCGGTAGTAGGCACAGCAGAAGCAAGAGCACTTATCACAGCGACCGCGACCGCGACAGGGATGTCGAACGAAACAGTAGACGCAACAAGCGACGATCAAAATCCCATTCACGATCTACCAGCAAACATCATAAATACCGGAGCAGTAGTCTGTAAAACCGACTACAACTCCTCCGTGCCAAACTTCTTCATTGAGCTCCATCGACACCGAGTTTAATCGATTTTTCTTTTTTTATCTTCTCCATTTCATCGTCGCTGTGTACTCTCATATTGTAGCTCTACGTTGAACCCTCTCAGGATCCATCCGTTGTAACACATTTTCCTTCACCCTATCATACCAGTTATCTGTCTGTCCGTTCAATTTGATCGGCCTCAGGATATATACCTCACCACTTGCTAATCAGCTTTGCACTTTACTCCTAATCAACTCTCTTCTACCCGCTCCTGACCATTGCACACCCAAAACATGAGCATCTTCCTACCTCGCCTTACTTACCTATCTAACATCCTACACGTTCCCATATTGCATCCACGTTGTCGCCGTACATCTTTATGATGAATTTTTTAAAATATACCACTATAACTATTTCTCACTACTGCCTCTGGCCCACACTTCACATACACATCTTCACGCCTATTTACGTTTCGACAACACTACGCCCATAGTATATTCTGAAATACTTGACGATGCACATTGACCACTCACCTGAGTGAGTGTTACTAATTTAAGTGTAAGATTCAATCAAGCTTCCGACGCTCTGCAGACAGGAAAAAGTGAAAAAATACACATAACCTGCCCCAGAGAGGCTCGAACTCTCGACCTTCCGATGTCATATAACAGTCGGACGCTGTAACCAACTCAGCCATGGGGCATATATTATAGTGGAGGTAAGAAGAATCCATAGATGAAAAAGGGACTCCGGTTATCGCTCACAAAATTTACAGGCATATCCTCAAGCTTCAAACTGGTACCCTCCTTCTCGATCCACGATACTGAATCTCAACTTCGCTAGATCATTCCCTTCAGTCTCCGAAAGTGCACACTCAATCTGATCACCGGCGCTGACCGGACCCACACCCGCAGGAGTTCCAGTCAAAACCAAGTCACCTTCCTCGAGAGTCATAATCGATGAGATGTGTTCGATTAACCTCGGGATGCGAAATATCATATCTGAGGTAGTACCGTTTTGCTTGAAAGCGCCGTTTATCTGTTTACAGTGATGATAGGAATGAGATTTTATCGAATAAAATCAGCAGGAAATCCACCTTTAACCAAAGCCTGAGATTATGAGGGTCCTTGACATCTGACTTTGGGATGAATGATCTAAAAAGACAATGAATGATCAACAACAGAGAAAATAGCATTCAGCTGTAACTCCGCAAAAGAAGGGATACTCGTGTGGCCTTCACGAAAATTCGCGGGGAAAACGGAAATTTCAGGGAAATGGAGCCAGTATCAAGGAGCGACCAACTCGGAGTAAAATATTCAGGCTACCTTTCCGAAGTGAAGATACGCACCCTATAGGCGTGAAGGTATCGAAACCTTTCGCAGCACTCCAAGGTAACCCTTTACTCTTTACCTGCTCTTGAAGATTCCGGGCGGTCATGTCCACAGCTAAGGCTACAAACAACCGTCAGATGGTTAGTTCGTTGAAACACAAAACGCATGTCGATCTACCGTAACCAGCAATATGCGCTTCTGCATTGGCTTGGGATATATCCCGACCACGTTTGCCAATGACGAGGCCAAGTTCCACTGTAAAAAATGTCAACCGACGCAATCTAGCATAAGGATACGTGCCCGCGCGCACATCGAAAACACGAAAGAAAGAGCCAGGCCTACTCACCTTCATGGTGGCATATTATCCCCTTGGGGATTTCAACTCTGCCTCCGGAAGGTAGATAGCTTGTTGTAGGCTGGAGATCATGACTATCATGTCAGACAGCTGATCAAACGAGGATGAAAGGGAAAACGCGAAGACTTGATTTGGAAATGAGTAATGCGTCCAGACCATTAGTTGAGAAAACCCAGAGTCCCTAATCACAGGACGTCTGAATAAAGTGAAATGCATTGGGCCAAGTAAAAGTACTATCGAAGCCAAGCGCTTGGAGAAAACTTGTTATTTAAAAATAGGAACAGCGTAAATCAGGGTGAACCTAAGATCACAGCCAATTCATCGGACCAAGGAAAGAAAAGAAAAGAAAGGACAATCATACCTCAACGATATATACATAAATCAGGACGGGATTGACTTCCGAGCAGAAAGGAAAGGGAAATGTAAATCGAAGTGTCAAATATGGTATTGGAGAGCAACCAAGCGAAGGCGTTTGCGAGTTTCGATGATGGAAAGTTGGAAAGGACGTGACAGAAATTATAACAACATACTTTGAGGAAGAAGAACGGTTCTCTCGGGGTCGTATTCGACAGTTCCTTGATGTGCTCGGCATAGTTTCTGCCTATGGCTACGATCTAGATGCATGCAAGGCAGACAGCAGAAGATAAGCTACTGTGTTAGGAAGCAAGATTATTTCTAGGGGAATAAAGAAAATCAAAGACATGAGAATGATGAAATCTGCATCGTCCGTGAAGAGGAGTGGAAGGAGTGAATCCGATATGAAGCTCCCGAAAGTAGGTTAATGCGGTGAAACGAGGAGTATGTTTCGGCATATGAGAAATTGTGGCGTGGTATAGGACAATACCAAGAACAACATGAAGACTAATGACAACTCTGGACAGAGACACACCTTCTTTCCGTGCCTCGCAAACGAGGAGACGGCAGTCATGTTTTCTCGCTAGTCACCAAGCAGTCCACAGTATGAGATGTTCCTGACACTTGGAAGATTGAGTTTGCGGTTGAAGAAGTTGGCGGGAAAACACTCCCAGCTATGTCGAGGTCACGAGAAACGATGCCGACTGTCGGCGCAGGCCACAGCCACAAAATCACTTCATTTTATAATTGTTGTGCCAAAACTTACGCCGTACTATGTAGTTGTAGATATTATAAGTTGACAGTTCTTTCCAGTTTGGCTCGACTGTATATATGTAGGGCTTTCGTGAGTGTATCAGCGCAATTCCAGGAAAGAAGGAAACAGTATGTCATAAAACTTATCAGAAAATCAGATGTAGCCAAGACACACTTCTTGGCTCTTGGCGCGCCTTGCAGAAAAGCCCAGCCTGTCTTGGCTGCTAAGAATATATATAATAGCGGACATGCCTCGTTATCTATTCCTTCGCGGTTGACGATGGCCAGCTTAAATAATGACACTCAACAAATGCTCCTGAAAACTGATGAATCTGACAAGTACGCCATCAATCGCCATCTATTCTTCCAACTTTTCGCTCAACGCACTTCGACAGTCTGGGTATTTCCTGGGAGATTGGTGTAATAATCGGAATAAGTGGGTCCATCCTTCTTCAAGGCGTCCTACTCCTTCCTGAAAAGGTTTCTAGTCATCATCATCTTGGCCATAGTCGCTGCTGCAATCTTTCAACGGCGCCGTAGACGACGTTTAGCCTTGCTTTTGGCTGAAGATCTGGAAAAGACCCAGCATCCTCGTGATTCGACCCATGCTCCTTCAACGAGATCATTGTCCGCGACACTCAAGGAGTCGCATGAGCTAAGAAAAAGTACGAAAGATGTTCCTGAATTGTTCGCCAGTACGATATCCAAGGTACTTCAGTTTCCCCTTCATATTGTAGACCGTTTGATTGACAGACTCCTACAGCCTCTGCCTTCGGCATCTTCTGCTTTGAGCTCCAAAAGGTCCTCACGAATGGAATACTATATTGAACAACCTTCACAAACACCTCCCAACTACTACTGGGACCACCGATCATAGTTCATGCACAATTCCTTCGCTATGTTGTATCCCTACTCAATCAACTTGTATTTGCCAGTACGTTTTTGTCTTCTACCAGAATGCCATATGGCGCTGATTGATCTTTTTTCTCTCTCACATCCACGCAACAGAAGAGATGTATCTACAGCTTCCTATCTCTTTTTCAGTTCTTTTCAATGCTATCTCTCTTTCATTTATGACAATCCCGTCGCCACCACAACCTACGATGCATGATACTAGTAATCGGATCAGTACTTGATAATATAAATTTTGAACGCTGGAACACTGAGAATTTGAAGGTAGCATGATTATGTAGGACTGTAGTAGACTTTCTCACTGCGCACTCCTGTCACATTTAGACAACTTCTCTCCATCGATGGTATACATTCTTTTCCTTTTCCTTCCACCATTATCATAAGAACTGCTCCAGATGTCTACAGCGAGCTCGACTAACAGTAAACGCAAAAAGCCTCCAGCCTGTGATTACTGTAAAGTTCACCGCGTTCTTTGCCATCCCCAGTCAAACGGGCCTTGTCCGCGATGTGCAGAGAAAGGAGTGAAGTTAGTGTTCTTTGAATCTTCTTCTGGAATCCTGTTGAAATTTGTGCTTAAAGCTGCCAAACGACGCCAGTTACTCGCCGGAAACGAAGGACGAAAGCAGAACTTGTTCAGTCTGCAACTAGGAAGGAAATTGACACTAGTAGTCCTTCTACTTCTGGCCCTCCAACCAACATCGGTCCCTTACATCCTTCCTCGATACCATTTCAATCCCATGACGAGCTTTCTACAATGGTTACCATACAACCCATACCGAATATTTTGGATGAGCCATCACCCGTCCCTCCCACTATCCAGATGCCGACAGAGGTAATCAAAGAGCTTATGCAAAGTGCGTGTCCAGGGTACTAAGCGACAAGTTCATTCACTAACTTAGCTATATGTGGTAGTGCTCCGAAATGCACCTTACGATATGCATCCAATAATAACGAACCCCATTATACCTCTTTCGCGGCTGAGAAAGAGTTTACAACTTCATTTATGGGACTTACATTCTCTCTCACCTCAAGAGCGCGTACTCGCACATTGCCTGTTAACATTTATTGCTCTTCATTCCAAGAATCCTTTCATCATTGGGCTAGGGGAACTTTCTACCGAGGAATCTCAGCGGTTCACCAGCTCATCACCCCTAAAGACTCCTGTTGTCCCCGATTTACGTCAATTTGGTTTCCGCAGAGAATCTGTGGTTCGACGGCTGTGGGCAGAAGCATTGTGGCTCGCAAATCAGGCTGGTATTGCTACCAATACCTCAAAAGAGAATGCAGCTTCATGCTGGATATTGGGACATCTGCGCTATGGTAAGTGTCATTACATTGGTCATGAAATCTTTGTGTCTTACATTGTGTTTGTAGTAATCCTGGGCAAAGGTGCCTCGGCATTCAGTGCTGCTTGTGTTTATCATATGCGAACTCTCGCAGAGGACGGGCAATTACCAACAATAGAAAGCGAACTGCTCAAGCTTCGCGGACATATGGTGCGTCCTTCCGACTATCTGTCGACTCAGAAGTCGAACTGCGAATCAGATAGGTGATGTCGTTCCCGCATTGATGGCAGGGAAAAGTATCCCCCTGTGAGTCAATATGCAACAGTTCGATCTCTTGTTGACGGTATCTATTGCAGTACTCTCAATGACGAGTTTCTGATTGTCCCTCTCAAACCGGAATCACTGGAACAGCTCATCAGCACATTCACAACTCAAACTTGCTCCACGTCAGAAATATTTTTATCAATCCATACGTGTAAGTCGCAACCATTATCGGACAGGCGGGACACAGTCTTTGACTCGATTCACACTCTGTAGTTGCTCACAACATCGCTCTACTCGCACGAGAAACGGTTGAAAATCTTACTGGAGGTAAGTTCTGCCAAATATCTACTCCTGCGAACTGCCTGTAACTGATATTTTGCTCTGTAACTATCAGCTTATGCACGTAGCCAACTCCTCGACGAATGCTTTCTCATCAAACATTTCGCCT